CCCCCCCCCCCCATCTATGACTCCTAGTTGTATTTAAAGACTGGCTTTTGATATGCAATTTGTAAGTCCTTGCTGAAAAGTGATTCTGGAAGGAAGGAAGGAAGGAAGGAAGGAAGGAAGGAAGGAAGGAAGGAAGGAAGGAAGGAAGGAAGGAAGGAAGGAAGGAAGGAAGGAAGGAAGGAAACTTTGACCAGTTGGGTTGTAGGTGGCCTGGTCAGAAATCTGTCTCTCTCCTGTCCTCTCCCCAACCTCACCTCCCTAAGTAAGGAATTCATTTTATCTCACAAGAAAATGGAAGTGGCAACATCCGATTCAATTAAAATTCTTGCCCTAGGAAGGTTTTGGGGATGGTATATCAGATCCAAACTCTGTGATGACAGTTTGAGAGATTAGTCTGTATACAGAAACCCAAAATATAAGGCTGAGGCAAAAAAGGAAGGGAATTAATGGATCAATCTCCTTATTGTTTGAGCTCCCTTTCTTCCTTTGACATTACATTATTGTATTTCAACAACTTAGACTATTTTCTTGTGTTGTTATGAATTAGATCCCAAGTAGAGCAAATTCAGTAGCATCTTTTACACTGTATTCCAAGCCAAATGTAGGCAGAAGCTATCTTTGTTATTGGAACAATGAATATAATTTTCAATGAAGTCTTATAAAATAGTTTGGTATCTTAGAAGTTTTTTTTCTTTTTCTCTTATATTATGAATGCTTCTTTTAATGCATTTGCTGGGATATCTCTGGCCTCTAATAAAGTTATTTTTGTTTCCAAAGCATCATGTTAATCTATATCAAAATTTATATAACCAGAATGCAGTAATAATTTCAGCTGAAATCTATGCCTTTAATTAATAAAATGTGTGTAATTGGGTCACCTCTTTTTCTGAGATAATACAAATAGTTGTAGTTTTGTATAAGTATGTATAAGCAGATGTGAATACTAAACATGTCGGACATTGAAAGACTGAGCAAAAAGGCCTATTTTTGTTGATAGCTAAAGCACACCCTGTAGTTAGGATCTCTACCACTTCTCTTCCTCCCCTGGAGATCATGCTCAAGGAAGTTAAGTCTGATATTTTGCTTACTCGAGGCAACCCACTCCTGAGCTGTAGTGTTCAAGAATGAAACAATTTCCTGAAATGTGGTTTGATATTTTTGCATGGTAAGTCTTAGAAGGTAAGGAGCCTTTTGTGCTTTCAAAATGGAAACACTGGTTGTACAATAGTCAGGGAAAACTTGCATGTGAATGGGCTTTTTAAAATTAACAGCCCTTTAAACAGGTAGGTGGCATATCTAGGAGGTCCATTTATTTCAGTATTCCCAAATTTGCCTGTTTCATATTCCTTTCCCTGCTTCTCCCTGAGTGCAGTTTAGTCTTGTGTCATCTCTTGTGGATTAATTGCAAGGAGAGAAAGGCAGTGGTACAGTAATAGTCCAAGGAGAGAATCAACTTTAATGATAGTCCAAAACTGTTAATTATACCTAAGTGAAATAGTCACACAAAGACTGGCCTGTCTCCAAGGATAGGCCTGTAGTAAGAAATTGTTGATTAATATTAATAATTTATATATTTTGTACAGAAAGCTTTGTAATAGTTAACACACTTGTTCTCACAAAATGAAAGGCAGGGTGTTGTACAATAATTTAAATTATTTGAAAATAGATCTGGAAATGAAATTGAAGAAAAGG